CTGGGGCAATGGGCTACTCTGAGTACTGGGTGTCTTCTAAATTCATTTAGGTAGCCATAGAAATTGCACCGTTTCAAATTTGTAGTTGTTCATTATAAGAAGGCAGTCAGCAGCACTATGGCATCACTATATTTGAACTTGAAATCAAGGCAGTGCAAGCAGCATAACTTTTTACAAGGCATTCTGTGTGTCCTGGCTTCTTGTACACAATGCAGACAAATAGAAAACTCAGCAATTGTAGTAGTTAATCAGTAATTCAGATTTGGAAGTTATTGCCCTTCCTTTTAGTTACAAGCAAAAGCAAACTGCTGCAAAACTCCTAGTTGTGTATTCCTCCTTCTTAATAATTTTTGACCCCAATCTGATGTTGCTTGGCTACACATATCCCAGTTTTTATCTGTGAAATATTGGACGATGTGAAATATTGGTGGAATCATGTACTAATATTTGTATGGAGATGCACATTTCATCACATAGAGGTGGGTGGGTGGGTTTCCAACCTATCAATCCTTTTGGACAATATGGACAGTACCTGAGTTACAAATATCCAACTTACAAATGACTCAAAGTTACAAACAGAGTTACAAACAGGAAGTGAGAGAAACATACCTGTTGCAACTCAGGGTAGGCTTCACCTTGCTTCCAAATACCACCACACAAGAGCTGTAGTTTTATAGTTTATTGAGGAAAAAATCCAGGTCAAAATAAAGAGTAAGCATTGCAAAGTTCCAAAGATTAAGGTTAAAAGCAGGATACAGTTCCAAAGATCTTCAGGTAAAAACAGGAGACATAATCCTATCGGCAAAGTTCAAACCAGAGTCCCAGGTACAAGCAAGGAAACATTTGCCCCAAGAATCCCAATGCAAGAAGTCCCAAGCGTCCCGCTCCAGGCTAAGATTATTCCATGAAGCTTTCAGGCTAATAAGCTACGTTGAACTGACAGTTTCGCTTCCTTTGTGCAAAGCCTAAATAGCATTTTCTAATCATGAAAACATCATGCTCTCACAGTGGTCCCATGACTTTTCCTCGACCTGGCCTCTCTACAGATCAAGGTCTTCTCTATCAGTGTGGGAAGACACCTGGGTTCTAACTCCCTTATTGGCATTCCTTTCCTGTGAGAACTGCTTGCTAAAATCTCCCCTGTCTGTGAGAGCCTCAAGCTGAGGCACAGAAAAACAGCCAGGAATCTGAATCCCATCACTCTCATTACACTGAGCCACAACAATACCCATAAGAAGGGATATTCACTTCTGAAAGAGTTATCATTGGAAAAAGGGGTCCCCAATGAAGTTTTCTCACCAATCCTTGTTTCCACAACAAGCAAAAAAATTTCAAAATCCAATTTTCACAGGGATATAAAGTGAGGTGAAATCTTCTGAACAGGGTGCAGACACCAAAACAAACACCACAAGGGTGATAACTCTTCCCTATTCCCTATGTACCAGTTCTGACTTACAAACAAATTCAACTTAAGAACAAATCACATGATGCTCAGCGGACCCTGCCCCATTGATGCTTGAAGTGCCGAGGTACACTTGTGTCAAGTAGCCCATCTGATGAGGTAGCAAGACCCTCAGTAAAGGAAATGGCAAGTCTCTTGATCTAAGATGAGCAACAGAGGAGTGCAAAGCATTTCAGTTTATCTCCACTCTAGAAAGCTGGATTGAGAGGCAGAAATTTCTACTTCCAGGTGGTCCAAGAAGCAAAAAATGGCATCTCTCAATGCAGCAATTTCTACTGGGACTACTCCCATGCAGAGAGGAGTTGTCAAGACCCAGAAGAATGCCAAACCCAAGAATGCCAAACACAATATAAAAGGTCCAAACAAAGGTTTATTAAACACAAAAAAGGCTTAGAGACACTTAACTCAGTGCCTCTAGCACAAACTAAGAGTCAATAGCAACCGCTAAGCAAAAAAACACAACTTAAATATAAACCAGATTATATTGGAGTATAATCTGGGATAACAAAAAGTTTCAGCAATCCGCTTGAAATTCAAAAGGTTCAGACGGCACAAGAAAACAAGGTGGTATCATGCAAAATTAAGGTCCAAACACAGTCCAAAGCCCAGGCATGTCCAAAATGAGATGAAGCAGTCCAAAAAGCAAAGTCGTCATCAAAACACAGTTCAGAGTCAAAGGGGAGGTTGAAGTCAGCATTTACGGAGTTCCAGCCAGAAGTCACAGAAACATGGAGATCTGTAGTCCAAGGACCCAAACTTGAGAGTAATGGCAGTAACAAAGATCCAAATCCGATAAGACACTTTGCCTTCTGCAAAGACCCATTGAAATCAAACCAACATGTATCCTATAACTCATCATCCGAGGATGAACTGCTCCCCACCCTTTCATCATCACTTTCAGCTTCCCCATTCCCTGCAGCTGAGCATTGACACCCATCTCTCCACCTTTGCCAGTGTCTTTCAAGACTTAGGTCCTCCCAAGTGTTCCCAGATTGCCAGTCTTCAGCAAACCCCTCAAAGTCATCACTGGATGTAGGCTGATACAGATGTCCCTAATCTCCTGCACACGGGTCCAGTCTAAAGCATCCTCCTCCCCATCGTCACTCCCAGTCCCATCACTCCTTTCAAAACCCACAAAGTCTTCATCTTCCATTGGAGGGCTAAGTATATCACAGATACGCTTCCTCTGGATCTCCTCATCTGATTCTTGATCACGAGTAGCCCGCTTAACTCCCTTGCTTTCCTCTCCTTCCCCCATTTCACAGTCTGAGAAATACTCGAAGGACTCGGAATCAGTTGGAGCCATGAATATGTTTCTAATCCGCTTTCACTGCCGCTCCTCCTCCAACACCTGCGCAGCCCTCTACTCCCTTCTACCAGTAGTAGAAACGTTACTATCATGCTGTACTACAACAGTACTGTTCTTACATTATGAATGGACAGAATATTGATCTTTTTTTCAAAAAGGTTTAACAAAATGTTTCTTGAATGTTGGAAAACAAGGAGTAGCTTGGACTGGTGGAAATCTAGAGTTTGAACTTTATTCTGTGCAAAATTTGTACAGGCTTATTTTTGCATTTTCTCCATAAGGAAATGTTGAATTCTGCACAGAATATGGTATTTTTGTGGGGGGTCGGAGAAAGGGGTATTTTATTCAAGGCAAAGTCGAATTTGTCAATAGTTTTCAATCAATAAATAACAAGCAAGAAGAAAAGTGCTAAAATCTTTTAAACCCAAAGTTTTGAAGAATTATACCTCTAATCATTTCTTTGGGGAAATGATACTGATGTTTTAAAACTAAATTAAACACTTACAAATCAGAACTTAATAGACCCATCCATATGTTGTTCCCTTCACTTGTGAATTCCCACTCTGTTCTTAGTGGACTGAATGAACAGAAAAAGGCCAGTTTAAAATAGAAGCACCAATGACTTTCCTGAAATGAGTAAAAAGGATTTTGTTGAATAGGAGGAGAGGCATAAACCAGAATGTAATTTTGTTTCTGGAAAATGGATAATGTACCTGTCAAGATGTATTTATTCGGGTGGCCTTCAGTGCTGTTTTCTGGTGGTAGTCAAAGAGAAGCTAACATTACATTTCGGAGACCCCATGCAGGCTTGGCAGCAGATTCAGTGTATTAATTTCAACATGAAACAAATGGATTAAATGGGGCTGGTTTTCCTGCCTTCGCTCCTTCTCTGGCCCACCTTCACCATTAGTAATACTAGGATCTTATCCCACCCAGAACACATACAACACATATTGCCACATAATCTGAAAAAGATGCAAGCTAAGAAAAGGTTAAACCAGCTGTTTCAACTTATTGTCACTACAACTTTGTCCCTATAATTAGTGCCTTGCTCATCTTTTTTTTTTTGAAAAAGAGGAACGATTATGCAGATACTCTGCAATTTCATTTCAAATGCTCTTTGTGCTCTGATGAGCAATTTTCTTTAATACAAACCCAGCCTTCATAGCCCCTCCACCATACTGTTACCCCCTCCTCACATATTATTCTATTCTTTCAACTTCTTGGAGGGGGTGTGTGGGGTTCATTATACTACCAGCACGATGTTTTTAAGGAGTTTTGTCAGTATCCGTGGGGTGATTATTTCATTTCCGTAATATAGGTATGGTTGCTTTCCAGAGAATGATTAAGATATGTTTTTTTAAAAAATAAAACTGCCTTCTTTCTTTTTTCACTCTTCCTTTCTGTGATGACATTGTATTGATTAAAGTGATGTTCGATTAGGCAATCCCTCGTTGGCCGAGTAGGATACTCTTCCAGGATCAGAATTCTTGTGAGTCTGTAGGTGACTGTGGAGCCCTATTCTTGATCTGCATCTTCTTCTGCAATGAGGGCATTGGTTTCCAGGAGGAAGGCGGTCTCGGTCGGGCTTGGCTTGACGCACCTTCCTCTTGGCACATTTCTCTCTTTCACCCTCCATTCATGCCTCTTCAAATTCTGCAGCACTGCTGGTCACAGCTGACCTCCAGATGGAGCACTCAAGGGCCAGGGCTTCCCAGTTCTCAGTGTCTATGCCAGAGTTTTTAAGGTTGGCTTTGAGCCCATCTTTAAATCTCTTTTCCTGTCCTCCAACATTCTGTTTTCCGTTCTTGAGTTCGGAGTAGAGCAACTGCTTTGGGAGACGGTGGTCGGGCATCTGGACAATGTGGCTGGTCCAGTGGAGTTGATGGTGGAGAACCATCGCTTCAATGCTGGTGGTCTTTGCTTCTTCCAGCACGCTGACGTTTGTCCGCCTGTCTTCCCAAGAGATTTGCAGGATTTTCCGGAGGCAGCGCTGATGGAATCATTCCAGGAGTTGCATGTGACATCTTTAGACAGTCCACGTTTCACAGGCGTATAGCTGAGCCATGTCAGTTAAAGTGGTATCAAATTGCATTAATTGTATAGTATAGAAACACCCTAATAATGAAGCACAGCACATCTTTTACAGGCATTCAAAATAATGATTTTAAAAGTATATGCGATTTTACTACATAAGATTAAAATCTATATATGTATCTTTTATTGCAGGAAGCTCTTATAATGGCAAGCATGGACCATCCCCATCTTGTACGACTCTTAGGTGTCTGTTTAAGCCCAACGATCCAGCTGGTCACTCAGCTTATGCCTCATGGCTGCCTACTGGACTATGTCCATGAACATAAGGATAACATTGGTTCCCAGCTTCTGCTTAATTGGTGTGTCCAGATAGCCAAGGTAAGTTTGTACAAGTACTTTTAAATAAGTCAGATTCAACCATGGATAGACTTCCAGTCTTTGGAGATTTGCCTATCCTCAGCAGAAAATTTTTAATTTGTGTTGCATTCCTGTATTCAACAAGAAAGTTTGCATTAAGATGTGTATGGTCTTGTTCACTGTGTGAAAAGAGAAAGCAGATTTGGTGCTATTTCCTTCTTATTTTAGTAAGGCGTCTTATTCAGTTGTGCATATTTTGATACTGATGTATTTGTTTTCCTGAAACGGTGTTTATATGTCTAACAAATCTTTTACGGAAAGTGTTAAACAAAATTCAATTAAAAGAAAATAACAGTCTACGTTATTGTGAAAAGAGATACTCGAGTCTTGGAAAATTACATTTCACTTTCTCTTAAACCAATTGTGATAGATGGATGTCTCCCGGATCTTCGGAGATAGAGAGGGAGTCAAAGATTTGTTGCAATTATTCAACATCTCCTTCAAAAATGAGAAAGATTCGGTGATAGTATGATAGTCGGGTCCCAGTGCTGTGATTGTTATGCTTTTCTGGAATGGTGCTTCAGGAACGGAGATTGCGGAATGCAGGGGTGGGACAATACCATTGAAGCAATTTAACGCAGGGGGACACAGATAGCAGTGAAGGAATGTAACAGGTATTTAGTGAAAAATGATAAGCAATAGTTCGGGATGAACTTAAAGGGGATAGAAATCACTAAACAGACCCAAAAGATTATTAAACACTTCCCAGCCCACATCCAGCCTGCCCACAAACTGGAGGGGGTTGGACAATAATTCTACCTTCCTGGAAAAAAGTCACGGCCAGCTCCGTTGTCCGAAACTGTTCAATAAACTGGATGAGATTGATTTTACATCCTTCCTTGTAATGCAACAATGAACTGCCTTCCCAAGTTTGTCCCTGTTGCAACCCAGAGCAGGAAACTGGACCCTCAGACAACAATCCACCACACTTGACTTCAGGAAAACAGTCCTTTTTTATTGATGAAAGATGAATACAAAATAGAGGAAAAATGTAAAGGTAAAAAGTCACAGTAAAAATCAGCAACAAGAAATGTCCATAAACAAGATCATAAAACCCACAGCAAAACTGCTGAATCCTGGAACCTGTTAGCAATCCACTAACCGTACTTGGAACAACTAGAAAACCTCCGAGGAACAAGGCCACTTGAATCAGGAGACCTGCAAAAGCTTGCACATGAATCTGGAATGATGCCTGGTCTGAAGCTGCATTCAGGCCAGGCATACTTAAGGCCGAGAAATCTATTGCAAGACACGCCTGAAGTTTTTGTTTGCATTTCTCTCAATCTAGCTGACCTATGTAAACTTTGTGCTTCTCCCCGGCTCTGCCAAATCTGCCCCCACCTATTCTCATTAGACTGACCAGGTGTCAGATTCTCTGGAGAACTAAAGCTGGGAGGAAAAGGGAGTGAAACATCTCCGCTCGGCTCGGAATGCATGTTCTCATGGGAATTTTGACTTTCGCTTTCCAAGGCTGTAGGATTTTCACTACTCAAACCATCATCATCTAAATTGGCCTCAGAATTCACATTGACATCTACATTGGCATCAGGGAATACAATCAAAGTATCAGGTTCGGGTTCACACACAGGCTGAACCCCAACAGTCCCCCCTATGTCTCTCACTCCAGCCAGTCTCATTCTGCCCCCGCTCTCAACCACGTAGTCGGATACGTGTTGCCTTCCCTCATTCACAACCGCTGTTGCGATATCAACATAACGCTCGCAGCACTGGGACCCAGCTATCATACTCTCACCAAGGATTCTAATCGCCAAGATATTTCTAGTTCTTTCCATAATTTCTCACCTTCAGTGCTCTTCCAGAAAAAATGTGAAAAGCAAGGAGTACTCGAGCAATAGGTTCTCCTATGTGGTGTCTCATGAATAAGAACTTTAGTCTCATTCTATTCTAATAGAGGAAATACATAACATTAGTGTTGTGAAAGAAATCCAAGCCACACTTTATGATTTGTCAAGGTTCACTCTCGAGTTCCTGAGCTTTTCCTACCTCTTTCCAATTAAACATTTGGTGTGACACTAAATGTTAAAATGTGCAACTGGCTTGGTGAATGGGTGAATAATGAAGACAAACATATATGAATGTCTTTGGCACTTTAAGGAAGCCAATTCTTATAACATGAGCTACTGTGGGACATTTCCCACTTCATTAAAGCATGGAGTATTATTCAGAGGTCAAAGTATACAGTAAGTAAAGTGCACTTAGTGCACTCAAAACCAGGTGAAATTGTTGATAATGAGGTCAGAAGGAAATTCATTGTAGCTATGGGGATGGAGGGCAAAGTATGGCTGAAATTGTTGATAATGAGGTCAGAAGAAAATCACAGTGCTGCTACAAGAATTGGGAGGGGGGCAAAGTAAGGGCATTATCCTACCCACTAGTGAAATTTCCCTTCAATCCATAAATTTCTAGACTTGCAGAAATTTAAAACTTCAGTTGAGCATTTAAAAATGCAATTTACTCATCCAAAGAAAAACAAGTTGCTCATCCAAAGAAAGGGGGGAGGAAAAGTTACCAAAGGAATGGAAAACACAGCAAATACACATTTTCTAATAAGGTAAATGATTTCCAGTGTCTTATTCTCTGGAATTTGAGGACTGAAGGAAGATTGGACTGAAGAGTAAAGTCCTTATTGAGGGCTAATACCCCCATTTTTACACACCCCACCCCAACTTCTTGAGGAGAAACCACAGGGTACTTAATGCAGAAAATGCTGATATTAGCAAAGGTATTATTAATACTGACCATTTACAGAACTGAACATGAACATCAGCAACTGTTGGGTGTTTCATTTCAATAAGACAACAGTTCTGAAAGTGTATTCCACAGAACCCCTGGGGCTCCACGAAGCATACGGGGGGGGGGGGGCTCCACAGTTCCCTCTCCCCCTCCAAGCAAAGCCTTCATCCCTCGGCTCCCATGCTGCCAAAAGCCTTTTTTCTTTCCCTTCCTTGCTGCCAAGATCTTTACCCTCTTGCCTTGTTTGCTTCCAAAACCCTATTTCTCTCCCACCGCTCTGGGGGTTCTTCGATTGTGCTTTTCCTACATAGCAGAAAGGAGTTGAACTAGATGTCCCCTGGGGTTGTTTCTTCTTCTTCTTCTTCTTCTATTATTATTATTATTATTATTATTATTATTATTATTATTATTATTATACAAAGGCTGGATGGCCATCTGTTGGGGGTGTTTTGATTGTGCTTTTCCTGCATGGCATTTTATTTATTTATTTATTTATTTATTTATCATGTCATCAGCAACCAGACATTTGTATTATATTTTTAACAAAAACAAACAAACAGACAGACAAAACACAGAATTTGCAAGCTTAGTAGTTGATTAAATGTCCTTTGACCAGTATCTGGCCACTTGGAGTGCCTCTGGTGTTGCCGCAAGGAGGTCCTCCATTGTGCATGTGGCAGGGCTCAGGTTGCATTGCAGCAGGTGGTCAGTGGTTTGCGCTTCTCCGCACTCGCATGTCGTGGATTCCACTTTGTGGCCCCATTTCTTGAAGGTTGACTCTGCATCTCGTGGTGCCAGAGCTCAGTCTGTTCAGCACCTTCCGAGTTGCCCAGTTTTCCGTGTGCCCACGAGGGAGTCTCTCATTTGGTATCAGCCATTGATTGAGGTTCTGGGTTTGAGCCTGCCACTTTTGGACTCTCGCTTGCTGAGGTGTTCCAGCGAGTGTCTCTTTAGATCTTAGAAAACTATTTCTTGATTTAAGTCGTTGACGTGCTGGCTGATACCCAAACAGGGGATGAGCTGGAGATGTCTCTGCCTTGGTCCTTTCACTATTGGCTGCTACTTCCCGGCGGATGTCAGGTGGTGCAATACCGGCTAAGCAGTGTAATTTCTCCAGTGGTGTCGGGCGCAGGCACCCCGTGATAATGCGGCATGTCTCATTAAGAGCCACATCCACTGTTTTAGTGTGGTGAGATGTGTTCCACACTGGGCATGCGTACTCAGCAGCAGAGTATTTATTGTTTACTTATTTCAAAGATTTCTATACCGAGCTTCTCGACCTCATTGAGGGACTCAGCCCGGTTTCCAACCATAAAAACATATACACTCGTTAAAATATCATCTATCACAATTACAAAAACAGCTTTAAAATAACACTATGTATAAAACTACAGTGGTCAGTCGTCATATTAAAAACAGATCTACATCATCTTCCATCCAGAGTCCTAGGGTGTTGTCTCATCACAATATTGTCAAGTTTATAGTAGTTAAATGTGTTCTTCATTTAAAATATTGCATTGTGCTTTCTTTCATGGTCAGTGTAGTGTTGGGACCCATGAGAGACAGATAAGGAGAATCTCTGGAAGAAAAAGCCTGTTTTTTTTGTTGTCGTTGTAAGGGTGGAAAGTTTAATTAATCTATATCACTGTGCTCTAAGGTTAATATTACCCTGACCTGACATTCTGGCATGAAGCCCATCTGTTTGGATCTTTGTAAATGAAACTTATTAGAAGCATCTGTTTTTTTTGCAACTTGCATGAGGGGTAGCCGAAACAGGTGCATTGCCTTAATGGTTCTCATTCTTAACCTGCCAGAATCAGTTACCCACAAGATGTTTGAACATTTAGTGGCTCATCAGTATCCACTAAGTTTGGTTCCAGGAACCCCTGTGGATATCAAAATCTATGGATGCTCACGTCTCATTATATACAACTGTGTAGTAAAGTTGTGTCTCTTTTATAAAATGACAAAATCAAGGTTTGCCTTTTGGATTTTTTTTATGAAGTTGTGGATGCATATTCCATGGATAAAGGGGGCTGACTGTATGTGTCCTTAAGGCGTTTTCCACTTTTTGAGGGTGGGACTTCAAACTGGGCTATTGAATCTATGGGATGTTTACTTGGGACCTTATGCCACTAGTGAGGGAAAAGTGGGGGAAAGCAGACGAAGCATCTTACCCCAAGCCCGTAGCCACCCCCCCCCCAGGC